ACTACGCAAACAACAAAAACGACACCACTATAGGACATCCCTCGGTTGACGAATCCGAAGGCATAACAAAAACTACTCCCAACAACCGAAGCCGAATCCCTACTTCGACTACTAACCTCATTACCAACCAAAGCTGAGGCCTCACCTCGGTCTCGGGAGTGGGGGGCAAGTGATGTGGGTAAGCTTGGCCCAGTCCACCGTGGGCTGGGAGGTCCAGCCCACTAACGCCTAACAGCGTCAGCCACAGTAGGAGGGAGCCTTGATGCCTCTGTAGGGAGCCAATCACATGACGGTCAAACGTACCCACCAGGGCCTGCAGCCTGACCTCGTACGGCTCTCATCCGGGGCATTCATCTTCACCTACCTCCAACACGCTCAAGTATAAACAAGAGGTAACTAACTGCCCCTTAAAGGGGATTCGGAACAAAAAATTCCAACACCACTCACTCATTTACTCCCTGCACCTACCTTGTCTTCTTAGCTTTTATTCAGGGAGATCTGGTGCATCCGAGGACCATCTCCAAAGCCTCTCCTACTTTACACCTCGTACTAAGTTGAGCGTCGGAGCCTCTACCTCAGGTATTCGCCGGAGGCCTCTGACAGTCTCTATCTTGCAACACCTCTGGTCACCAGGGATTTCGCCTCGGTCTATAGTCCTCGGCTACCATAGTCATCGGAAAGATTACCTCGCCTCGGCCTGCGGTCCTCGGCTTTGGCCCACCTTTTCTGAGGCCTCAGGTTCCTCGGCCAACACCCGAAACCTGAAGAGTAAATTTACGTCGTTGCCCCAGGCCATTCCACGCGGCAACAAAAAACATTTATCAGCATTAATCACTCTTATGTGAAACTGAAAAATTGTACCCAAGGTAAGTACTTTCCGGTCCAAGAACAAATATGAAGTCCATGTTGCTGTTGGTTGTAAGTAGCCATGTAGTGCGTATAAAGGTTTAGGTGCAGCCATAAAAATTTGTACTGCCCGACAGAGTGTTAGCAGAAAACACCGTTATCCCATTATGATTTCAACCATTGGGTCTTTGCACAAGTATCAAACCATCCTTTTCATTCTAACAAACTCTTTTTTGACCGTCTGATGGAAAAAGGGGTGTCGATTGGACCGGATTTGGTCCAATCTGATCTGGTCTTATATGAGTCAATTACAAATGGATTAGATCCAAATTAAATCCAATCTAGTGAATACTCTCTGACCATTTTGGATTGATCCATTTCAATGTCTAGACCGTTTAATCTGTTCAAATTGGTTTTAATTTAAATTTGTTCCAATCCAAACCTAATCTATTGACACCTATTATCTTCTATCAGTAGACTAGATATTGATTCAATCTAACCCAATCAAATATAAATCCATACGAATGGATCAGGTCCAATCTAATCCAGAAATATACTTCCGGATCATTAGGGCTGGACTGGTCTAATTTAATACGTCTTATTGGTCCATCCAATCTGTCCAAATTGATTTTTATTTGGACAGGATCAAATCCAAAACCGGTCCAATATGAAATACAATAAAAGCACAATCATGAAAAACATTATATCTATATTTATATTATAAGGATTGGTTACACACCTACACCATATCATGTATAGTTAGAATTGAGTGCAGTTTATTGGCCATGTCTTAGGACAGGTAAAACAACACTCATGATGTGAGTTCATTTCTGGTAGTCTTGTTTACTTTTGGGTAGAAAAAGGATTGGAAATTTGGTGGTAGTGAGTGAGGGAATGACAAAACAACTATTTACTCAAAAGATATATCAGAAATGTTGCGACCAAGCATTACCCAATGGCTTTAATTACTTTCTATCTTTATCCACTCGCCCATGCCCCACTTGTGCAAGCGACTTTTGGCTCATTCAACAAAAAACCTAATATTTCTTTTATCTTTTTCTGTCCAAGCACAAGAATTAAGGTTATGTTTGGTTTGAAGGAAAGGGTAGAAAAAGGAAGGGAATACAAGTTTTGTAAAGGTTTTCCTTCATTTCCCTACTTTTTCTCCAAACCAAACACAGCCTAAAGGACGTGTCTGTTCCTCTTTTCTTCTCTTAATGCAAATCAGTCTCTATAATCTTTGTTAAGCACACATGAGTTAGTAATATCAGTCACGATATAACATCAAAATTGATTCATTATTCTATCAGTCATTAAAATGAACATTTAATTTTGACGTTGAATTTGTGAGAAACAACATATAGAAATTCGGACGGAACAGCTGTTGCGGTTTGCAAAAGTTGTTAGCAATGAGAGACGAGGACAGAGTACAATTGGAGAATGGTGACGATGGCGTGGCCTCACTCGGCTGATGGACTCCTATCAACAAACCAGCTTTGTATATTAAGACTTTGGAAATTTTCCCACTATTTTTCAAGCTGATGTTCAGTTTGACTGTGTGTGTACATCAACGAAAAGGACGCTTGCTTCCTCATCAGATGAGAAATTGAATTGAATTGGGTCAATAAAGTATGAAGAGAAAAGAATGCTGTAGATGGGCCAGAGGAAAGAAGTCGATGAAGAGTTGGACAGTATTATGTGGGCCAAATATTGATGTTTGCCATCAACAACAGTTCAAATCTGCCATTCACTACTGTTTAGTTAGGTTGTAGCGTTGTAGGATGAAGTCCTTATCAACTCCAGTGAGGAGTCGGATGGATGGAGTTTTGTTGGGTTGTTGATCAGTCCTTTACTGGTTCTACCTTTGCGTGGAGATTTGAAATCAAATCTCAACTTCACGTGGGTTTGGAGGGTTTTTAAGTTTGAATTTTTATTTTATTTTTCTTTTTTAGTATTACAAGATTACAATATCTCAACTTCACCTGGGTTTGAGTTCTTTTTTTTTTTTAGTATTACAAGATTAACAAGGGATCAAGAGCCAGTAACATAAAAGGGTGCAAAGGTGCAAGTAGAGGTGAGCATAGGTTAGTTTGGTTTGTTTGTTTGTTTTTAATGTAGAATCTGGAATCTATCTGTAGGGATTTTTTTTTTCAAATTTTTAGAATCAGAACCTACCCTATCAACATTAATTTCAAGGTTAATTCATGGAACTTGTTCTTTAATATAATATATGTTGATTGATGTTAGTATAACATTAAGAATTATACATGTGACCTAATATTACATCAATGTCAGTTCCATCAAGGCAAAATCAAGGCTGGTTCAAGTCTTAGACCCTGGTCTAGAATAGGCCTAGGGTCAGTTTCAAGAATTTGGAATCAAACCCTAGAACCGATTGAATTGAGATCATTTCCAATCAATTTTGGGTAGAAACTGACCCCAAATGACCATCCCATTCTTGCTTTGGGGCCTCTGTAGAGTGTAGTCCACCTATGAAAATAAAAGGTGCTTTTTTTTTTTGTTCCCATTTTTGCTAAAACAAAAAGAAAGGGAGGGTTTTGTGCTTCAACTTGTGTCCAAATGAGAATATACATTGAGTGATTACTCATCCAGTCTCCATCAAGTTATGAAAATTAGTATAAATTAAAACAATTCTTGTTATTTTTTCCTTTCAATTACCCTACTATCTAGGCTGATACCTAGCCTGCCACTTTCCTTGAGAGACGTGTGAAAACATAGAATTCCTTCAGAATAAATGAGTAAGGACTGAGGAGGCCTTGTATGTCATTTATGATATTGAGTGTATCTGCCACCATGTTCCTAACTCACCCAATGATGTTGTCGGTTACCCCCTTTAGAGTTTCCTTCTTAATTTCTTCTTGCACCTCCATTGCTATTGCTATGATCATGCTCTTCTCACTTCTAAGGCTTCGGCTGCAAGTATGAGTCATGACCATTTATCCAGAACAAAAAAAAAAGTTGGCTTTTCCCATAATTGGTGCTCCTTACTGATTTCCTGCAAACACTACATCTTCTTATTTGTTTTAAGTAACATCAAAACTTATTCTTATATATTCCTTTTATTTTTTTGGTCGCCTTTAACTCAATACTTGCTTTGTTAATCAGAGAATACAGATCAGTTTTCTTCTTGCTGAAAACTATCTAGCTTTTGCTTTTTGAATAAAAGCAAACTTTATACAGTAAAAATTGATTGAATGTGATGGTAAGTGCATTTTGATTTATTTAACCTAAACATGAATCAAGAAACTGATTGAGTGAACATTAATAAATGTATCATATTTGAATCTTACATAAACCATTTTTTGCAAGATTAAACCAATGACTTGATGACACCCGGATTAATCTTTTCAACTTTCACTAATTCGACAATTTGAATGGATTGCCACTTGGTAAAACTGTGGCTCAGTGAGCATTTGAGTTTTATGAGGACATTTAAAGAAACCATTTTTCAGTTGCACTTGAAATAGGGTCCCGTGGTAGCTCCATACATAAACCAAGGACATTTAAAGTACCATTTAACATTCTTCTATCAAACCACATGCATGAGTCCCACATATTTGATATTGATCGATCCCCCACCTACTGTCCGTTGTTTATTTATTTTCTGTGTGCCCAAATTAAAACTGTGGTATAGTAGTGAGACACAAATTTAGCACGATATAACGATGCATTGAGTCATCCAAAAGCTCTCAGAATTGATTTTGGTTGTAACTTGCATTGCATTGCATGAGAATGAGATGCATTTCTAATACGTGGCTAGTTTACTTAATTCGCTCCTTTGTAAATCATTGCTTGTCGCTGTGACTTTTCAATTTCTGCATCTTCCCAATGTAAATGACGCCAATAAGTTTGTAAGTTGTTATCTCATTCTCATCCTCATTTAAACCAAAGTATGAATGAACTGTGAAAAGAACCGGCCTTAACCCAGAAAACATTTGGCTTTATTAAGGGAGGGAGAATAAGATCTGCATAAATAACCGAATTCGTTCTGAAGTTACTGAGCTAGCTGTAAATAATGATGCCGATTCCAAGGTTTTGTTTCTCAAAAGAAAAAAAGAAAAGTTAGGGAGCTTGCTTTTTTATATATATATATATATATATTATTTTGTTCCCACCTCTTTCTATACCTTTTCTTTTGTTCATTGACTTGATTCAATAGACTAGACGAGTAGTCTTCCTTCACTCTTGAAAGAAAACCTGGCCGGGGCATTTCAGATTTTCAGATTTGTAGGTTGAAGCGTTGAACAAGAGATTATTATGAGTTAGGTTTGGTTTTATGTGAATATTGAAATGGTTGGATGGGATGGGATGAGGATAGATCAACGTCAAGCCCACCAGGGATAAAAAGGTTTTCTCAGCCCAGAATCAAGCCTGGAAGTCCATCAACCCAAATATATAACCTATTTAATAACCTTCCCTGGTTCCAGAACTTGTATTAAATGCAGCAGCTGGGGAAACCCACCCACCCCCGAAACCACCCCAAAAAAAATCTGCCTATTCCCCCTCTCTTTCTCTCTCTTCTACCACAATGAAAACCACCTTCTTCCTTCACTCAAAATGTCCAGCAGCCCTTCTACCGCCGCTGGCGGTGGCGGTGGTGGTGGTGGTGGTGGTGGTGGAAGCTCCGGCTACTTCCTTCAGAACCTTACCAACCTCGGCTTCGGCTATGCAATCGCCATCGCTTTAGGGTTTCTTGTCCTCCTCTCCACCGTCGTCCTCTCCTCCTACATCTGCTGCCGAGCATCTCGTAACCGCCATCGCTCTTCAAACCCCGACAACTCCGACTCCAACCCTGACTCTTCAAACCCTAACGGTATCATTCTCCCTCGGATAATCTTTGTTGCAGAAGATGACGATGGCAGCAGAGATGACGAGAGCGTTGTTGTGGGTTTGGACCAGTCGGTTATCAATTCGTACCCCAAGTTCCCATTTTGCAAATCCAAGGATCGGGGTGACTCTGTTTGTTCGATCTGTCTTTGTGACTACAAGGATGGAGAGATGTTGAGGATGATGCCCGACTGTCGACATTTCTTTCACCTCTGCTGCATTGATGCTTGGTTGAGGCTTAATGCTTCTTGCCCTGTTTGTCGCAATTCACCCTTACCGACTCCGCTTTCGACGCCGCTGTCGGAGCTTGTGCCGTTATCGCAGTATCCGGGGAACCGAAGGAGGTGACCCTTCTTGTTCCCTCACATGTTTTTGTTCTTCATCATTTCTTCCAATTGTCTGTTTCTTGCATGTAAATTTTGAGTTATAGATGCTTTAAAGATCAAAGCTTCAACTTGTTTCCTTTTCAAGTTTTTGGGAGACTCTGTTTTTTTTCTGAAACACTGAAAATGTGTTTGATGCTGGTCTTTGGACATGGAGAGGATGTAATTTGTGTTTTTTTAGGAGTTGGGCTTATTTTACTACAGAGTGAAATGCCTGATCTGGGTACTCTGTTACAAACTTTGGCTTTGGAAGCAAACACATCACCTTGCATATTAAATTTCTTCAACTCTTCTTTCCAATATCTGTAACTTCTCCTCTTTCTGAACTATATACATGGATTATAATACAGTTCAATATGGATTTATATGTTAAGAGTGTGGGCAAATACTTCAGATAATCCTCCTTTTTACAGTCATATCTTACAATTTTGCCATAATTTTATGGGAGAGAACCTGGGGTAAATTGAAATTGCCGTATTCCCTATAACCATTTCATCGTGCCGCATCTTTTCTCTCTCTCTCTCTCTCTCTCTCTCTCTCTCTCTGTGCCAAAACGAATGAAATAGATTGGCTCTGTAAACGGATGAGATGGTATTTAATTTATATGCATTTTGATTCTCCATTTAAGCTAATCTTTTGATTTTGGCTCTGTAAAGTGTAAACCACCATTTTATTATGACTTAGTTTCAGTATCTTAAAACAGACAAACCTGCCGATTCATGAGCCAGATAAGTCTTGAAAATACCATCAACGTTTTAACAAATTCTGAACAATACGATGGGGTTGAGCTGATTCATTGGTTTCGGAATTCGGAGGATGAAATCTTGAACCAAGGGATGGTGGGTGTGAGGTGTGACCGACAAATTGACTTAAGTTCTACTTCGGCTTTTTGTTTTTGCTTCTTTCTTCTAGCAGAATTATGGTACCCTTTGAGGGTTATATTCTAAATCTGCAAATTTATCACTAGGAACGATTAAGGCTAAAGTGGGTGGATCTGGCTGAACTTCTGATTATTTGTATGAACATTGGAGAAGTTGACTGCATCCACATATTCAAGTTTCTAACCAGGAAATAGGGCATAATTTCATAAACCATAAAAAAGTTTCAGGTTTAAAAAAAAAAAGTCCATATATATAGCTGAATTGAAGCAAGCCATAGTCATTTGTGTTTTTAAAATTGACTTAAAAGTAAAAAATAAGTAAGTAGTCATGAATGATTTTATATCAAGCTGATAAAAAACGTTGTATTATTATAGGAATTATATCTGTTAATAAATGAAAAATTACAAGTTGTTTCCTGAAGCCTTGCTTTCATTTCATTTTCAAACAAGTATCAAGTATAGCGTTCTCGTGAATCAAAGAAGCCCTAATAAATAAATCTGGTTTGTAGAGGTCCCCTTCAAGTTCAAAGACTAATATGCAGCAGCCATGGAAAGCTTGTGGTGTTCTTCACGTGTGACATGACGTCTGCTCTCTGCATTAATGTATTAATTAACTGTCGTGGTTGGATTAAACAAATAAAGAACGATGCTTATGAGCTACGACATAAGATGTATTCATTGAATGGTAACCCTATGTAGCTGGTTTTAGGGGGATGGGTTTGGGCGCTGAGAGGCAAAGCACGGATTTGCTGCTTAAGTTTAGCCTTAGGCAGCCAAACACGGTGCCCTAATTAGCTCAGGCTGGCCTATTTCTTCATTATTTTATTTATTTATTTTTTATTATGATTAGTGTTGACTCTTGACTCTTGAGTGTTTGGAGAGTTGAGAGTCTCATCCAGATCCAGGTGGAGTAGTGTGTACCACTCCAAAGCCACAGATCAACCCCCCACACTCATGTTGAATTCTTCATGTTTTTAGTCGTTTCTCCCAGTCAAACTTTGGGCTGTACAACAGCATAGGGCCGAACTGAACATCCACCGACCACAATGCCAAATACAATGAAGTAATGAACACCCACTGTGTAGCTATTTATGCTTTTTCCTCCAATCCCCCTTCGTTTAGGCGTGCAGAAAGACAGAAAACTACGAAAGTACAACAGAAAGGAAGTATCTCAGCACGAGGAGTCTGATTATGCTCTTAATTTCAAAGCAACATTAATTGCATCCTTGGCCACTCACTAGCTTTATCTGCATGCATCCCCACTACAAATCTAAAGGCCAAACCATAGCTTACAGTTACACCTCGTTTTGAAGCCTAACAGCTTTGTCAATGCTTTAATAATATTATTATTATTATTATTATTATTATTATTATTTTCATTCTGCTTGATGCATTACTTTTAAGCAAACGATTTGGAAGTGAGTCAGTGACCTTTAGAATTGTAATTTGTATTTTGGGGTTGGCATGGAGTTTGACATGCACAGAATCGAGAAATGGTTCTGGAGAGCACTACAACCCAATGGGAAGACACTTGATTAATATTTTGAACCCAGATTTTGGCTTCGGGAAGCTGTAAAGCTCAAGATTATCGCTTTTTTTTTTAGCTTTTAACAATTTGGAGGAAGAAAAAGGCTGTAAAACATTCCTCGGTGAAAAATGTAGAGAGCCAAGTTGGAAGTCATTCAACCATTTGCAAATTTGAATGACTCCAATAATTAAGCCTGTTTCTGTAAATTTGGTTCATCTCTCTATGTGTTTTTTGCTTTTAAAATGTTCCATTAGAGGGAAGTGTTCTTTTTACCTTCTCTTCATTAAAATTTCATTCATTTCATGCCAACATTTTTTAATGACAAAAGCACCCACATGCAGTCAGCAGATGCTCGTCAAAATTCATAAGTTGCTTCACTCTTTCTTGCTGCTGCTCCTGGGTTATTGTTACTTGTTACTGTAAAGCAACTTACCTTAAGCATACTCTCCCAACGAGAATACCCATTTTAAGAGAGCTGTCCTAGGTTCTTTGCTTTCACAACGCTTGAGTCAATTCTTTACCATTGGGTTTGGGTTAGGGGTGATCATTTAAGCCCGGCCCGGCCTGGTTCGGGCCCACATCAGGCCCACAAATTTTATGGATAAGTTTAGGCTTAATACTTTAAACCCGGCCTGGTCTGCATATATTTAAACTTACACATTTTGTGTATAATGTATATATATATATATATATATATATATATATATATATATATATTTATTTATTTTATATTATATTATATTTTTTATATATAAATATATAACATGACATGTATAATTTATATTATATATAATATAATGTATGAAATAAGTTTATATGCATGTTATGTCATTTAGTATATACACATGTAATGTTTTATATGAGTGACATTGGCCCGGAATCAGGCCCAATCCGGCCTGGGCCCGTATAGACCTAGGCTAGGGTTTATATTTCAGGCCCGATACCCCGAACCGGACCGGGCCCAGGCCTAAACTATAACCCTTATCATAAGTGCAAATGTTAGAGATAAGAATCTCATACAACTCCATCCTCAGAGTCCTGAGCCTCTTGGATAGCCACGTCAACTATTCTTGATAAAGTTGAGTCATATCTGTTTTTTGTTTTGATAAGTTTATTCGGTTGTAACCTCTTTTATTCAAAATGTTTGTATCCATCCTATCCTGTAACCATTATAAATATAAACAGAAACAGCCGCAGTTAAGGCAGGGCTGTATTCCTTTCCTATTCAAAATCTTTTAGCAAAGTCCAGCCCGGCCCATCATCACCCCTAGTTTGGGTATTAGCTCCCCAGTCCCCCAATCAATAACAACAAGTTGGCTAGCAGCCCACCAATGAATACACTTCGATTCTCACGTCCAAAAAACTCTTATCACATTCGTATTGTTCCCTTGGGTGAATAACAACCGAAAATACTAAACTTACTACCGGAATAAAGGCGTCTACTGGACGCTTGAGTAATTGGAATAACATTTTATTTTTATTTAAATAAATAAACAAGGCCATAGTCATAGTGCATTAGTGCTTGATAAACTAACCCACAAGCAACGAGTCCGACGGATTTTGAAAAGAAAAACAATACCTATGGACTCTGATCTCGATGTCTTCCTTCCCAGAGCTCGTTCCCACCTCTGTTTTTCTTTTTTTCAGACCCTGTTTCTCGACGATCTTCAAATTAACGTAATATACACTCTCTTCTTCAATACCCCACCACCACCGACCCTCTCAAAAGTTTTGATCATCGTCTCTTTTTTGCTCTCTGGATTCCCTTCTCCATCGGCCATTGTTGGTTTAATTTTCTTCTTCATCTTGTAACTAAATATGCAGTTCCAGTCTTTCCCTTGCACTTATTTGGAAGATTGCTGGACAGATCTGTTGCTTTGTAGATATGATGATATTTTCATATCTGATTCTGATTTTAAATTTGGTTTTTCAGGGGGTTTTGGATTCATGTATTGATTGCTATCACATGGTATGTACATGTAAATTGCTGTTCTAATCTATAGCCAAAGAGATTAGAATTGCAGTAGCAAATACAAGAGATGCGAAATCATAACTTTTTTCCTAAATTTGGAGTGTGGAGGGGGATGCATGGCTTCCTCTTTTTACTGGGTATCCTCGCTCTTCTCCTCAGTGTCACCACCTTATCCAAGTTCTACTCTCGCACTTATCTCCTTCATCCTGAAACCTTCTGCAATTACATGAACCATGACGGTCTAGGAGGAAATGCAAACGAGATGAGGAAGACCGTGGATACTATAGTCTGGAAGATCCAAGAAGAGATGAACGAGATAAAGGAATCCAACGCAGAGTTGTCCGTCTTGAGATACAGCGCCTTCCTTGCAGACATTTTGGGTCTAGTAGAGTCGGTACAGGAACATTTACAGCCGATGCCGATCGAAGGAACCCATCAACAAGAGAGTGGAGATAGCGAGGTCCATCCTCTGATGAGGCCTACAGACAAGTCTGAAGAACCAGAGAATTACTTCCTGGTGGAAGAGATCCGGAAGTATGTGAAGATCAAGCCCAATAGACTAGGCAAACAGAACTTCATGGGAGCAAACGGAACCTTCACTAGCATCGGCCATGCTTGTTTCTCCATGAAAAAGGAGCTGGAAGAGTACATGGATTACGACGTGGGTGACATCTGCAAGGACGATTGGAAACTTGCTCAGAGACTGATGGTTCATGGATGCGATCCATTGCCCAGGAGGAGGTGCTTCGCAAGAGCCCCACAGCTCTACAGCAAACCCCTACCCATCGATGAGTCCATGTGGAAGCTCCCCGACAACCGAAACGTCCGGTGGAGTCAATACAGGTGCAAGAACTTCAACTGCCTGGTTAGCAACACCACTCGCAAAGGGTTCTTCAAGTGTGCAGATTGCTTTAATCTTGTCGATCATGAGATGCCCAGATGGATTAAACCTGTCAATTTGGATCCGAATTCAAATCTGACGGCTGATTTTCTTATTCCTGAAGTACTAGATATTAAGCCAGGGGAGATCAGGATTGGATTCGATTTCAGTGTTGGGACAGGTACTTTTGCCGCCAGGATGAGGGAGTTCAATATTACAATAGTCTCTGCAAGCATCAATCTTGGGGCTCCGTTCAATGAGATGATCGCCCTCCGGGGGCTCATCCCTCTGTACTTGACTGTAAACCAAAGGCTCCCCTTCTTTGACAACACTCTCGACCTCATCCATACAACGAGATTTCTTGATGGTTGGATCGATTTTGTGCTCCTGGACTTCATCCTGTACGATTGGGATAGGATTCTGAGGCCCGGCGGTCTGCTCTGGATCGACAGTTTCTTCTGCTTAAAGGAAGATTTGAATGATTATTTAAACATATTTAAGCGGCTGAGGTACAAGAAGCATAGATGGGTGGTTGTACCAAAGCTGGATAAAGATGATCGAGAGGTGTTCTTTTCTGCAATTCTAGAGAAGCCACCGAGGCCATTCCGATAATCGCGTGTTGGGGTTGTAGAACTTGTTTAGCCATTCATTTTTTTGTTGCTCAAGGTTAAACAAAAAGGAAATTTTTATTAAACATTAATAACTCTGTTTTTAGATTGAGCAACGAAGAGCTTTGCTTAATTTCAACCCCAACCAAAATTCGCTACTTGTCAGCTCTGTTTTTAGATTGTAATGACTAATGAGTGACTTTATTTAGTTTAATCTCCAACCAAAATTAGGCACCCGTCAGCTCTGCTTCTAGATTGAGTAATGAGTGGCTTTGCTTCATTTCATCCCCAATCACACTTAGAGACTCGTCCGCTCTGTTTTTAGATCGAGTAGCGAGTAGCTTTGCTTCATTTCATCCCCAACCAAAACCAGCCCTGACCCCACATACCACGCTGAGTTACATCCCCTGTTGCTCGAGCTGTATACAGAATCAGAAGAGATAGAAAGTTTTAACGCTAAAATAGCCTGTCTCTATACAAAAAGAGGACACCTGGACTCAATCCAACTTCAAATCTTTCAAACCAGCAACCAGGCTTTGACAGTCCCGTTCAATCAACACCCTCGTGAAGCCACAGACCCTTCCTGATTGCAGTTGCTTCTGCCTGCACAGGAGAGGAGACTGCACGAACCAAAACAAGCTGCCAGCCTACCAAGCTAGCACCGAATGCGTCTCTGATAGCTCCAAAACTAGCATTTTTTCTCACACACAAATTAAACCCTCCATCGGACTTATTATTTTAAAAGTCTTATAAAAGGCTTAAGCCTTGAGGCGTGAGGCTTACGCATTAAGGCGAGGCGAGGCACACACTCAAGGCTTAAGCCTTGGTCATGCGTGAGGCATAAAAAGGCATAAACCTTAAGTATCAATGATTATTTAGCGATTTGATGTAAAAAAATATATATTTGATGCATATTTTAGTTCAAAATATATGTAATAAGTGCTTCAATAATTATGAATCAAATTAATAAAATGTGAAAATGAAAAAGCAATTGGGGAAATCAAGTTCTATTAGTTTTTCTTAATGTTTTAGGAGAGTTCAATGCAAAACGGGTCAATCAAGTTCTTGGTTTCTCTTAGATATATCAAGTGATTTTTCTTATTATTCTAACTCTAATATCCTAAGTTTGTTATTTTTCTCATTTCTTTTCCTAATGTATTGATTTTCTTTTTTTTTTTTGCAGAGGCCAAATTAACAAAGTTATGTTCTTTCTTCTAAATTATTGAATAACCATAAATATAATATCCAATTATGTGAATGATTCTTCATATGTTTCCTTTCTTCCAAATTGGTCATTTTAATTATTTGAGAACTTTGCATTTTTAAACATAAAATATAAAATATTTATAGTTGTTAGCTGATTTGTTATTATTTTATTTGATGCTTAACCGCTGAAACTTATTGCTTATGAACTTTTCTTTTATGGATATTTATACCTTTAATCATTCTTACTTAGTATAGTATATAAATTATATAGTATTTTCAATTTATAAACTTTAATTAATTTTATTCTTAAGCTTTGAGGCTTATGCCTTGCAATGCCTTAGGCGTACATCTTATCTTTTTAGGCCATTATGTCTCAACTACGCCTCTAACCTTTTAAAACCTTGATCTGAGTAAATCTTTACGAGTCTGGATCTAGTCCCAAACAGGGTCTGAGCAGCCATTGCAGTCATGCATTGGGAACATCTCGCAATCAAAGACAAGTGAGATCCATGGAGATGTTCCTGCATTTAATTTTTCATTTTCAGAGCTTTCAAATAAATTCGTTTGATTCATTCATCCATATGTTTGACTCCAAAGAAATAGATTCTAGGGGTTTTTACCATTCAGTCCACCCCTAGGTGGAGCTCTAGTAGTAGACTAGGGGTGGATTGAATCCTGCATGGATTAATGCTAAATTCACGGGCAGGATGTGGTTTATAGGGGGGCTACGACTGCAAATTAGATTTCTGAGGGAGATTGCAGTCCAAATATCCCTAAATTCTAAGCCAATTACTCTTCAATTCGAGTGGAACAACTAATCTTCTATCTGATACCCATGCAAGGAGGATCTGAATCAACAAAAGCAGTGAGAATCAAAAAGTCGCATAAACATCACCATCTTGAGTCGTCCGGATCAAGGGTTGGTTTTGTTGATCATCTCTTGACTGGTCCGGGCATGTTTGGAGAGGAACCTAGTGATAGGCAAACTTGACGCCAGATCCCTTGTCTCAACAAAATAACTCTACTGTGGACGCTGTACAAGTTAAAAATTAAAATATTACATAGCTTTGGGATGCTGAATACATGGGACATGGCGACACCTTTGACGCAGAACTGCAGAGCAGCTTCCATCAGGCTGTGTTTGGTTTGAAAAAGGTAGGAAAAGGAAGGGAAAGACAAGGTTTCCCCACCTTTTCTTTCAAATCAAACACAGCTTTAAGCATTTACTGGTATTTTGCTAAAAATTGTTGAAAAGCCAAAGAAAAATTGCTAACCAAACAGTTGAACCGTCAAACCATTCGACCCTATCAGCAGTTTGCGGATTCATATCACCGTATTTTAAAATTTGAAATTTGCACTTTCTTGTTTTTTCTTCAATATTCACAAAAGCTGATGTTTATGAAACACAACATCTTAGATATCTTCACTTCTCTCTCTCTGTCTCTCTCTCGCTCAAATATGTTTTTCCTCTCTCTCCCCTGTCATCTTACCTACCTCTTTCCTCTCCTGGTCCTAACCTACATAATACATAATCCTACCAACATAGCAACTTTTGAGATATGAGAAAATTATCAACCGCTAACAATGTGACTCATGGAACCCATGTCATAAATTGAAACACCTAAAACACAATTGGGGTGGGGGATTTCCAAACAATTGACATCACGGGTTGACTCAAATGGTTGAACGGTTGACCCAAAAAACTGGAGACACAAATCGCTTCATTTCAGAATAGGTTTTAAAAACATTGATTTGAACAGCCAGTGGGAGAATCTAACACAATTTAATAAGAGTACCATCTCAGAGGTCGGGTTTGAGGGGAAGCAAACCATAAATTTCCCGAAAAACAAATTATCTAGAAGCATTGGGGGTTGTCTTGAACCAATACGAGAATCCACAACCACTTTTCCACGAAGACAGATCATATCTTCCTTTGCCCTCCTTGCAAGACCCCAATTTCCCTTCACAAGGGATTTTGGACCATACTTGGTCATAGCTGCTGCTTCCCTAGTTTCTACTTTCTACTCTAAAATGCCAAAAGATGATTCCTATCTTTTAAGTTCCACGCCCCCCAATTCATGACACCTTTTTGTTCGGCTTCTTAAAACATCTATTGATGCATACAACCAGGATAATATAGCCCATTCTCTAATAGCAATTTTAACAATCTAGTTCCAGCTAAAGAATTAAGGCATGAAGACACAACTTAACATCGTTTTAATTAAACTATCAATCAAGCCTTTTCTTCACTCTAATTTGAATCTTTCAGACATTATGAGATAACTTAACATCGTTTTAATGAAACTATCTATCAATCTAGCCTTTCTTCACCCTAATTTGAAAGAAAAAAAATGTGAATGATACTTTATGATCACGTATGAGAACAAACTTACATAGATAGCGAGGAGTTCACCCCCAAGGTTGCAAAACGCTATGGCGCTATCGCACCCCACCTCCAATAAAAAGGTGGAGATGTTCTTCAGACAACTTCAAGTTATTAGAACCATTTAATTCATAATCACAATTGCACATCCACCGTCTCAGGAGAAAACAGAATGACCAACAGTTTAAGAATTTATCCACATCTGTACATCGTAAAAAACTGCATGACAGTGCAGGAAGGCGGATTGCATTCTCCAAGACTCCAACCGATTATTTATATAGTCCCCCCATGAATAACTCAATGTGCAAAGCCAATATATCATATCGGAGTTAAGTACAATCAATGGCCTAATAAAAACTCAAGCCTTACAGTCCCAAAAGAAGGAAAGACAAACGCCATCACAACTCTAGCAGTAAATCCCGACATCATGCGGTGCTGAACTCTATGACGACTTTCACTACCATCATTACTACCCAATTCTTCTACATAACATGCAAGAAAGATTGTATTTTTTTTGAAAAACTGTACACAGCCATTAATTCAGGCTAGTCATTACCGGCCCCGAGGCAAGAAAATTATCCATGAAAATTTATAATCCGAAGGAATGGCACAAGTTCTAAAAGAAACTGCCTATCAAGAAAAGAAAAAGGTTCAAAAACCAGTATTTGATGATGCTCTTTAATTACAACCAAAAAAATTTCATAAAAATGCAATAATCATCTTGTAGTCTTTATACTTCAACCCCTGCAAACTTATTTTCTATTCTTGACATTTTTTGTTACATATACTGATTGGAGCATGACATTTTCCTTTGCTACAAAGTTCAAACAAGGCAATTGGATGAAAATATGCAAAATAGAATATCATCAGTTAGGTAAATTCTCTAGAATTTGAAGAATAGAATATGCACAAGTAACAAATTATCATTGGACAAAAGGAATTCCATCTTTGCTTCAATGGATACAGACCATTTTTGCACGCCAAACATTTTTACATGGACAACCACCATAATGAATGCTTTCCTTGGGATTGACATTTGCAGAGGCTAACCATAACATAACAAGGAAGCCTCAAATGGAAACTCGACCTTACTTTGTGTTTGAATCCTTGGCTCCCTCACGTAGAGGTCTCACATCAACACATCTCAGTGGAACTACAGCTTCCACGAAAAGTGCCTAGTCTCAAAGGTTTAAAAAATGCAGCCTTTAATAATAGAAACCGCAAACTAGTATATGGGCATGATCAGTATGGGCGATAATCGCAAACAAGATAAACAGGAAGTTAATGTTTTTAGAAAATCATAAAACCAAATATAAATCAGAATGAGAAATCCCATTTACAAGGCAATATATCAATGTCATCACAAGAACGCTCATGGCCAAGATATCCATGGAATGTTCCCCATACATGTAGATAACAGCACAAACAGCAAATCCTACAAAACACTGCTCTCCCAACTGGAGAACCTGAAAAGATGAGATGACAGAAAAATAAAAATATAAGGTTCCATCCAATAACGTATATCACCGCTTTCAAAAATCACAGCTACCCAAAAGTCTGTCAGAACCTACAGATGACTAGTATACCTCAACTTCCTCACGCCCTTTTCTTGTCTTTCAATGGCCCCCTTGGGATCTTACTTAAAACCTTAGCATCAAATACTACATATTGTTTCTTGATCTCTGCCATTGCCTTCTCTGCGAATGAATCAACCTTGTCCTCATATTTTTCATAAAACACAGGCACCGTGTGAAGCAAAACAAAAACTGTTTGCATTCAATAACATGTATTAGTCAATGTTGGAGAAGTGAGCAAGATATATAAAATAATCAAATCCGTTGCAATACCTATGTAAAACAAAGTCAAGAAATTGCACCAACTCCCAACAATTGAAAGAACCCAGAGACCAGCAATCACCTGAGTAACCAAAGCAATAATTCCTCGTAAGTAGTCAGCAATATTTGCAAAAGAATCATCGAGTTAATCGTTTCCATAGGATGCAATCCCATCATCAAGTCCCAAAGTTCAAAGATTTGATGCAATTACTATTTATTTGCCAATCACATAAAAAGTTAGAAGTTCAAAATAATCGATCCAATTCATTAGCATGAGGAAGGCTTCGAGACAATACCACGAGAAACTTCTTCAGATCTCTTCCCGATGCAATATCCCGCAGAACAGAAAAGCCACTGTTAATCTCGATTCTTAATGCAGAGGCAAACTGCAAAACTGGGTCCTCAGGAATGTAAACTTCTGGGATGCGTGGTGGCGATTGCGATCTGAAGGTAAAACACGGTTGAGAATCCAAAGAATAAGAATAAATCGGACCATCGGGTGAAAGTCAGAGGACCCAAAGCTTACTTGTTGATAAAAGTGGTCGCATTCGACCAAAGAAAGAGCAAAGACAGAGATAGTATCAGGCAATGGCAGACTAAAGTGAGGAAATGGTATTCTAGCAACTCGAAAAGAACCCAGGCCGCAGTGGCTCCACCAAGCACACTAGCAGAGATCTTCTTGTTCCTCCACAAGAAAACATCAGCGGCTGCATGGAAATATTGAGAAGATATTGATTACTATTACAACATACAGAGAGAGATGCATGTGAAATAAAATCTTAAGTATTAGAAAAATAGTAATATTAAATCACAGTATAATCAAACGTATTTCAAGTATGCTGAATAAAGCTAGGATTCCGCATGACGGAAATTATAAAATAAATCAGTTGTAAAGCCAAGAAACTGAAGAAAAATAAAACAGCATTTCAAGAAGCCCCCAAAAAAAGTAAACCTTTTAAGCATCACCCCCATCAAAACAGTCGACAAATATAAATACTATTTACAGATTTCAAGATCGATTTACTCCCAAAACAACTCAACAAATCTAAATATAAGAGAAAAAAAAGACCCAGATCGAGTTAGTATCTATCCCTAAAATCATATGCTCTAATAATCAAAGAACTAGGGTTTAGCATGACTGGCAAGCCCTAATAAGTAATTACAATTCTACGCTATAAAAAGAAAGTAATTGAATAGATGATCCACAATGCTCCGTACGTTTTCCACCACCCAAGACCTTGTGGACAGGCTTCTGTCTGCCGAAGAGTCTATAAACAGCCGCTTTGACAGACGACGGCGATGATTTCTCGTTGTCCGAATCAGACGACGATGAATCGTCCTTATGGTGGAGCTTCTCGGCTATCTTGTGCATCACGGACTCAACTGTAGAACCTGAATCCTCGGCGTGCTCTGCCATTGCTCTCTAACGGTAGCTCGATCGGAAATCCCAAAGTCCGTCGAGGTGAGAGAGGAAAAAGAGACCAGACGATGGCAAAACCTCAGTAGCGAAGCGAAACTCTCAGCTCTAGCCTTCAGTGACTTTCTAATCGCCGTATTAGCACTCACTCCGGCCTACCTAAATAACGAAGCAAAAGAAGAAATATGATCTGGACCGTCCGATCGCGTGAGTCCAAACCAGTATATCCGAGCCTCTTGGTTCGGGAGAATTCGAATTTCGAAAACCGAAATTCAGCATAATTTCTCCAATGGTCTCTCCGAGACTAAACGGACGTTAGATTCGAAAACGCCGTCATGTCCGTCGCTTTATAATAGATGTGGCGAAAGCCGAAAGCGACCGACGTTCGACATCAGGAAATCACCGACCAATTTAAAAAGAAGTTGAATACGTGGCAGCCAGCAAGTGGATGGAGGCCAGAATAGACGGTAAATGGAGGCCTCCTATCTCGACCGTACATAGCAGGTGGGGCCAACATTGAGCTGGACAGCTGGAACCATTATAGGGAGCAGTTTATATGGTTTTGGTTACCGGTTAGTCAAAGCCCTCTACTGATGTGAGAGTGTTTAGTTTACCAACTCTTTTTAGGAAAGTGGAGGTTAGGCGACGGGGATTTGCCGGTAAAAGAAATATTTAATATTTAATGGCAATGCAACGCAAAGTCGTTATGGTCCATAACAACCGAGGTGAGTAGTTTTGGTTTCGCAGTTTTGGTGGCGTTAATCAGAACATCACCGTTATCTACTGATGAGATGAGGAAGAGATTTATTACTCATTTATGATAGAGGCCCACGAGTCCCACAGACGTTACATATGTATTGAATTCTTGATTCCACCATGGTTATAATCAGGTTAATAGGGTTTCGGTTGTTGTTATTTTTATTTTCTAAGTCCAGTGGTCTACAAATTTGTGTAATTTGTGATTGGAGGGCCATTGGGTTTCGGTTGGTGCTATATTCATTTTATAAGCCTAGTTGTCTAATAATTTGTGATAGGGCAAATTTTTTAAAATTTCTTATGATTTAATTAATTGATTAATTCATTTCTACCGTTTGCATATTGTCTTAATGTATTTTTACTATTTTCGGTAATTGTCTAAAATCTCCCTTACCACTAAATTTTTTGTCATATATATAACATTATGTAATTAATACATTTTTCAAAAATCTCTAAAATACCTTTTTGTCATAAAAATAGGGGTGGATTCAAGCCAAACCAAGCCGAATAGATAGCTATTCAAGCTCGGCTCACCAAGGTAGTACGAGGCTCAAGCTCAAGCTCAAGCTCAAGCTCAAGTCAAAAGCTCGTAAGATCGAGTTCGGCTCGGCTCGAGCTCGACTTGAGAAAAATGTTTTATAAAAATAATATATATAATATTTTTTATTTGATATTTAAAAAATTTGAGAATTATAATAATTAGTTATTATTATATATAAATAAAATATTATATATATATTATTTTCTATAATTTTTTATTATTATTATTATTATTATTATTATTATTATTATTATTATTATTATTATTGTTATTGTTATTATTATTACTATTCTTTATTAAGCTCGAGCTCGACTCATGGCCACCCCTAATAAAGACCTCAAGGCATCGAGACCAAGAGCGGAACCTGTGTACCTCTATCCCTTTCCTACTGTTAGCTTCTCATTCTTCAATTGTTGGATGACGCGGAACAGAAACCATGGTTGAGCTTGATATTGTGCAAGCTACATGTTGATAAGAATGGATCTACAATCCACTAGGTTGAAACTCTGGAAACGCACCAAAAAAGAAAAACCCTCAGAAGAAATTGTATTAGAAATTCACATACCGTAAACAAAGGCTTAGGGTCCCTTTTATAGGCTCTGAATTACAAACTTACTCAAACTAGGAAACCAATTCCTAACAAAACAAATAGGAAAGGAGACAACTCATACACCTTTCTTAACTAATCTAAAAGGAAACAAACAAATAAGAACTCTACTAAGACTATGAAACTCAAAAAAAAAAAAAAGAAACAAATAAGAAAGTTATGACTGTTTCCGTGGGACTGCACGGCTTCCCCCTTTCATTCCTTTTTGGGTAGCTTCTTCCTATCCAATTGCTCAATGTATTTATTTGCAAGCTGTTCCACATCATTCCCCTCTACTTGAAAGAAACTCATCCCTAAGTCAATCTCTGGATAAGATGGACCATTAGATGGAAAGTACTCATACAAATCAACAAAATCGAAGGTTCTGGAGATATTCATGTCTTCAAGAAGATCAACAACATAAGCATTACCATTAATTTTCCTTAAGATCCACTAGGGACAATACTTCTTCAGCTTCAATTTGTTGTAAGTACCAATAGGAAACCGCTCCTTATGCAAGAACACCATCACCTAGTCTCCTAAATCAAATACCTTTGCTCATCGTCACTTGTCAGTTGTTGCCATATACTTGGCATTAGACTCTTCTTGAAGGGATGGGAGATCCATCGTATGGATGGTCGAACCTTGCAGGGAGGTTAGGCAAAACTTCAAAAAAAAAAATTTCTCTCCCATCCGGGAATCATATTCCCTAATTTATAAAATTGTATTTTTAAGGTTCGTTCTTGAAACAAAATCGGACCAGATCTGAAACCAAAAGAGGGAGAGGATATACCTCATACGGATTCAAAAAGAACTCCCAACGTAGGTGTTCACGCCCAAAGAGGATACCAAATTCGCCTCTACTGAAGATGGCACAATGTATGTTGAGGCAGAATCAACAAGAAGAGTTCTTTAGCAAGAACTTGGGATTCTTCACCAAAAATCGAGTAGGGTAGTGTGAGCACAACTTATGGTTGTTTCTTCACCAAGAAACAATATCAAGAACGGTTCTTGATCACTCCAGAAGGTGAAGATCAAACTAGGATGGCACCAAAAACTAAGGGAGATAATAGATTGCAAAAAGGATTTTTTTTCTCTATGGAATTCGCCCCTATTTATAATCCTTTCAAGACCAGCTTCCCAATCTGATTAGGATTGAGATTTTCTAATCTAAATCTTGTATTTAGATATGGAATCTCAAGTTGATAAGACCTATCTTATCCAACTATTAATCCCAGTCATATTATAAACCCAAAATTACCCATTTCAATTAAATCACTTAAGCCCATTTTGAAATGGGCTTTAGGCCCATTAAGTCATATTGCTCACTTAACCCATTATATGCTTGCTAGTTTGGTTTTCTTTGTATGGTGTGGGACCCTAGCATTGATCTACACATCAACCACATGGGTTCAGCCCAACCTTTGTCACAAAGTCTGGCCAAATTCACTGTAGGTCACAGTAAACCCCTGAGTCCATCACCATGGGCTCTTAATGGGCCCAACATTTACACTAAACGGTCCTTGGGTTAAGCCATCTTGTGAAGGCCCAAGGACTGTAGGTAGATGCAAGATTAGTTCATCAGGTATTATCCTCAATGGTTTTGCACTTAACCTCTCAACCCTTAATGATCACACATTGTTTGACAAAGAGGACATCTCCTTCGGCTGCAAGGTACAGTGCTGCACTCTCTACTCACATGGATCTCGAGAATTAAAACATTTTTGCAAACATTTGGTGAAACCATAATATATAAGTATATCTCTATATAAATATATTTTGCAAAACAAATTTCAAACACATTTGAAATCCATTACCGTCAGTTTAGGTTTCCATCAGTGAAAGTGCATTCCTTGATCATTCACTTTGTCCGACAAAGGGGTTGGTCCTGTCACTATGATACCCACTCAGGTGAATTCTCGGACTGTCCCAACATACCTAGGTTTTGACCCGGTCAAGGATCTCACTGATTGGCATATCAAAGACAGCCTGATCCAACACCTAGTGTAGTACCATAATCAAGTTTAGGGGTCAGGTGTAACATTCTAGTTTTTCCCATCTATATCCAAGGTCTAGGGCAATACTGAAATTTGGTCTGGTTCAGGGTTTCAAGCAAACTCACACTGCATGTACCTCAGGTCTCACCCTGCCAGCTGAGACAAGCCACCCCCAATCAACTTGGCAGCACATCAATGTCAGCCTTGGCAGGATAAATCTCCCAAATCTATCCAACGGCTATGAAGATTCTAAACTAACACGAGTCTCATAAGTGTCCAGTTTAAGGGTAGTACACAAAAACATACCATAATAATATGAATCAATTATGCACTTTATTCATTTACAATTAATGAAAATAAGTACACCAATTTGATTGGAGCTAAGGGCATATACTATCTAACACTTCTAGCTTTTGTTTCACCTTTGCTATAGTAGCTTGGTGATGTTTAGCCCTGGCACTAGTTGTGACACTCGTGCCAGAAACATTAGGCAATTTTACCAGATCTACAACATGCCTGGACTCCTTCGTGTAGACGATGAAGAATGGAGATCTTCCTATTAAACTATGAACATTGTTATTAAATGCAATTTCTACTTGAGCCATAGCATTGTCCCACTGTTTAGGCTTGTCACCATAGATGTTCTTAATCAAATTGCCCATAGTTCTATTTACTACCTTAGTCTATCTATCCGTCTGAGGATGTGTTGTGTTAGTAAAATTAAGTTCAGTGTTGAACTGCTTCCATAAAGTCAATTAGAAGTGAACTAGAAACTTATTGTCTTGACTTGAGGTGATGGACTTAGGCACTCCATGCAGGCTCACAATTTCCTAGAAGAACAATTTTGCCACATGCGTTGCATCAATAGTCTTGCAACAAGAAATGAAATGCATTATCTTTGAAAGTCGATCGACTACCACGAACACAAAATCTACTCCTCTCTGAGTTCTTGGGAGTCCTAACACAAAGTCCATTGATAAATCCTCCCAAGGTTCTGATGGCACTGGCAGAGGCATGTAAAGACCTGTGCTTTGAGATTGCCCCTTTGCAACATGACAGATAAGGCACTTTCTCACATAATTTCCAGCATCCTTTTTCAGTTGGGACCAATAATACCTTTCTTCCATGCTACTGATTGTCTTGTCTCTACCAAGATGGCCACTCAAACCTCCAGCATGTAATTCACGAATTACCTTGTCCTGTAAGGATGTTCTAGGGAGATACAACTTGTTTCCCTTAAACAAAAAACCACCCCGTACAAGAAAATCACCCATAGGTTGT